GTTTATTCACTGTACATTTGCACTTTGCGTTTGGGAGCATTTTTGTTCTCTTTTTGGTTGCAGGTGGACTCCTCCCCAGTGTTTTAAAAGCGCAATGGGCAATTTGCACCTGAGGTGCATGCCTTTTTGAAGCAAGGCGCAAAAATACAAAAAAAAAATGCTACAAAAATTTAAAAAAATGTCAAAAAATTCAAAAAAAAATATTAAACATAATATTTTTTTTATTGGAAACAGTAACTTTCATTAATTCTTTAAGAAACTTAGTACAACTGTCACCTTCAAAAAACAAGGTGACCCCTCCACAGATTACAAACAGGTCCAAAAAAGGTTCTGCCTACAAACTCCTTGCTTTGCTAAAGTATCAGCCATTGCATTGGCTGATCTCCTACTCCATTTAAACCTGACTTCAAGCTCCCTTGTTAGTTGCATAATCTCCCTCACAGGTTGTCTAAGGGACCAGGCGCCTAAGCTGTTTGTTTGCATCCAACCTATTACCAGTTTCGAGTCTCCCTCCACTTCCAACTGCTGAAAACCCAGCTGTTTAACCAGCTTAAGCCCTTGTAGGAGTGCCAAAACTTCTGCCCTAAGAGAGTCCCCCAGTCCTATCAGGCCAGAATAAAGGGCCAGGACATTTCCTCCCCCATCTCTAAAGACACCCCAATTCCAGAGGGGCCTGGATTACCTATAGAACTGCCATCAAAGTTTAACTTAACATCCAAAGATAATGGGGGCGACCAGTCCTCTTGAATAGCTAAAGAGGGGCAGGAAGAAGCTGCTACCGCACTCCACCCTCTAATTAAGTCATCTACAGAGAAGTCCTTGAACAGAACCAGCAATTTCAGCCAATGTATGATCTTGATGGTGGTCCCTTCTATGACTTCATGTGCTGATTTTTCTTTCCCTTGAAAGATTCTGTTATTTCTCTCTTCCCACACTGCCCAAACAACTGCTGCCCTCGTTGCTCTCCACATTAATAAAAAATATAAACTTCAATTTTAAAATAAATGTAATAAAAAACCTATTATAAAATTAAAATATATAAACATAACATGTAAAGCATATTCAAATGAAAATTTAAAAATAAAATCAAACAGATAAAGCATTTTCAAGCATGTAAAGGTAAAAGTTCCCCAAGGCAGGCAAAGAAGAGAGGAAGGATTATGTGGAAAGAAATGAGAGTAGCACTGATTTGGACTATTTGGGGAGAAAGGAACGGGAGGATTCTCAATGAAAGGTGTAGATCTGAGTCAGCAATCATAGAAGCCATAAAGATAAAAGTTGTACATTGGGTAAAAACCTTGGAAATCTTCCATGTTTTCTCCTTCAATGATATTTTGAGATCATGAAAGGAAGTGGCAAACTCGGCCCAAGAGAAAGAAAGGATCATTATGGAATGGACACCGTCAATAACTAATTCTGTGAAACTAAATTTTGACAGAAGTTTTTTGGGAAATGAAGGAAGGGCCAGTTTAGGGGGTGTATTTCGAGGTACAGAAGGTGAGGTACTAGCACTTCATTCGGGTCCTGTGCTGCAAGGGGATCCACTGACAACAGAATTAATAGCTTTGCTTCAAGGGCTGGAACTTACAAAACGGTTT